AATCTGAATATGCTCATGCTTTTTAGCTGTTTCTGAACTCTAGCTGGTTGGTACAACCCAGCTGTTCTCTTTCAAACTCCTCTCCAAGCTAGCTGATTCAATCTGGCATCTCTCAGCTTCTAACTGAACTCTTCTGCTTGGCCTCAAACTAACTTTGGCAGTTGTTCTAATCTTCTAGCTTCTTATTCTCTGGCTTCAACTGCTGATGATGATCTGCACTGAATTGAATGAACTCACAATGAAGCTCACCTCACTGAGCTGTGCTCACTGTGTTAACTCCCAATTGACTCTCCATGTATTGTTCTTAAATAGCCTCTCTTTCATGTGATGTTCCCATGAGAGTTGGGCATATCTTACTGCTAACTCTGTGTCAGATCGTTCTCTGATTCAATACTTTGTCTAACCCTCAATTTCAAATATGGTTACTACTATCTAAAAAGTAATTTTGTCTTAGAGGTGTGTACTCAGAGCATGTCTGTATTCTATATAAGAGTATGTAGAGTGTCTGCATTCCAGCCAGCTCACACAGACACAAAAGGTCTTTTTGAATATGATCAGATCAGCCATGTTGCTGGATTAAAATTCTTCGGCAGTCCATGGACATAATGATATTTTTTCCTTTTCCTGCAGTAAAATCTATGGGAAAATGCCATAAGTTCAGCCCTTTGTGATGAGGCCCTTTGCTGAGGGACTGGGTCAGTACTGTCCTGTCCAAGGTGACAAATGTGGCACTGTCATACCTGATTCAATTTTAAACAAAACTGATCCCATCAGTGTTTGATACCTCCTTTGGTTCTTGTTGAGGACATCTGTTAAGTCAGGTCTGACATATTGGAATGTATCAGTCTCTTTCAGGCAATCATAGAGATGCTCTATCACATTATCATCTAGCACCAAGCTGGCTAAAGTTTTACAGAATCATATACTGAGATGGTCCAGAAAAAGTGCCAAACAATGCATTATTTGGGTGTTAGGTATTCACCTCTCTGTGTTCCCCTCAGGATGGCTGCTACTTAGTGCAGGATAGTCAGGAACAACCACTCTGGCCCCAAGTCTGTTTGTCAAGCTTTTTTATTAGCATGGCTAATGGCAACTGTCTGCAAACAAGCCTGCCAACTGGTAGAAACAGGATAACATTTTTTTTTAAGATAAGCCACTGGCCTCTGCCATTTTTTCAGTGCCCAGACAAGGACCCCCTTTGCAATCTCATATATAAGATCCAAGTGTCTCTTGCTTCAAGTGATGAAGCAGCCAGGGCCATGAGCAGGCACTTCAGGACTCGAAGAGCAAAGACCAGCTTCCTCTGGTGCAGCTAAGAAGTAGAGGTATTGGGTTTCTGCCAGCAATATGACTGAGCCGAAAAGATTCATGTTCCCAACAAAAAGGCAAAAGTCTTAAACCAGATGACATATCACACCATAGAAACCCACTGGTCAACACAGGCAAAATGGTTATGCAGCATCTCAGGGTACACACTCCCTATGTTGCTGTGATATATCAACCACCAGGTTTCAGATGCCCTGAACCAAAACTGTCCAATGGTCTCCAAAAGAGGGACAATGGATTTCACAGAGGGTATAGACATTTTCATGGATATCATAACTGTTCTCATCTGAAAAACCCTCATTTGGCTGTGAGAAGTCATTCTTCCATTGCTGCCTGGAAACCTCCACTGGTGTCACCACAGCAATGGCAGCAACAGAAGCAACAGCAGCCTTCCACAGTTGCTGCTGGAAGAGATGGGTGGCAGGTGTAAGCCTGCAGGAAGTTCTGTGCTATTACAGGACAGTGACTGACACATTCCTAGGGTGCTCCTTCCATTGTAAAACCAAGAGACACAAAGTGACACATAGAAAATACAATCATATTGATTTAAACTACGAGGTCAGTAGCATCTTAGATGGATCTACTACACCATAATTTGGCTTGATTTTCATAGATGTCCTATGTGGAACGTACCATACACAGACTTACTTCCTGATGACACAGATCTAGGTGACTCTGTAGTTTTTTTGTTTTGGGTGGAGGTACCAGGAGTTGACAGGAGCAGAGGCAAGAGAAGTTCCTGAGGCCATGCACCATCTCAGGGTACACACTCCCTAGAAATATCCATTCCTTATAGTAGTGACCCTAGAAATCTGCCTGTCTTTGTATTTCTGAAAGTTTCACTGGGCTTTCCAAAATGTTACAAAGTGACTTCTTCAGAAAACATACATACACTTAAAATCAATAGGAAATCTTTATTTGCTGACTGATGAGATATAAGGTGAACTTGCAAAAACAATGTAGCCTCCCCATTCTTTGCCTTTTATGCATAAAAATCACATACTGTTTGAGATACTTCAATTAGCCAGAACAGTTAGAGAAAACAAAATTTCAGAGGCCAAAAAGCAAGGTTAATACATTCAATACACAGGACTTTCCCAGATCCTGTGACTACAGATTAGGTCTTTGATGGATTAAATTTTTGCTACCAATTTGGCAAGTATTGGAGCCTACTGAATAGGTTCTACAAAAGGTGTTCTAAATGGCATTAATTGTGATAAGTTCTCCTGAACTACTAAAGTCTGGGGGCCTGTTACAAAATCTGTTAATAAATTAGTACACATTAGATAAAGTACATTATACATATGATTCCTGTAAATAGCTAAAATGATAATGTAGGTTATTTTGGATATATTTGTTATAATGTAGTCCTTTACATTGTTACCCATAAGCCTTTGTGACATGATGTAAAAGTTAGACTTGATTACATATTTTTAGACTTGCCTACAATTGAGAAGACCACAAATGAAAGACAAGTGAAGGAAAATTATTTAAAAGTATAATACTGTTTATAAAGTGAGCATTCTAAACAGAACATATGAATGTTAAAGGCTTTGCCAGGTTTGACTGCAATCAAGAGTAGTGACTTGCATGCTTCACTTTTGAGCTCACCAAAATCAAAGCTAAGCACATGTTGACCTGACTCCTTATTGCTCATCTAAATGAAAAACTAGATATTCTCCACTGAAACGTATCCCATAAAACAGGACAAATCACTGACGATGATGTTCACATGTCTTTAAAGTGATATAAAAAAAACATGAATAAATGAAGGATAACATAAATCTCCAAGGGAATGAGAGCAGAATATACAAAAAATCTTGAGGTAATAAATAAAATTCCTGAAAAGATTGCAACAAAATAATGTAAGATAACTCAAGGATTCAAGAGAACATAGCAAGACCATAGTATAAAGTGGAAAGAAAGCAACTCATAACATAAAGTAAAATCATGAAAATAAATCATAAAAAAATTTAATGTGACATCTTGAAGCTCTAAAGTTCTAATGATGAAATGCAGAGTACAGATTATGAGTTTTGATATCAGAGTGAACTGAAAGGAAACATGTTCTTTTTTTTTGGAGGTGAATGGGAATTGCTACAAATATATAGATATTCAAATCTGCATAAGATAATAAAGGTAGCTGATTAGCAGATTAAGGCTTTGTGTTGTGTTTTTTGTTTTAAAAAGATGAGGGTTTTGTACCCTCTTGTGTGATCTTTCAAGTACTTCAAGGCAGATTTTCCATATTGCAGGCATGGTATCCACTCTTTAATTATCATTGCTATTACTTGAAAATACGAGCTAAGTGGGTCTAGAATCAGGAGATCCTTCAGCTTTGATGATACTGTTTTCTCTTTGCTTTCAACCTGTAAGGTCCTATGCCAGGATGCATTAGAAGCAGGTACTGAATAGTATGACCTTCATAGGCACTTGTCAGCTTTTATATTCCATTTCCTCCTTTCCCAAGTTTTTGGGCTCTATAGATTGTTTGAAGTTTTAAACACGGGTTATTTTTGTTTGGATATGATTCTTTGACAGAACACTGGTTCCATTAAATATCACACTCCTAAATCTATTTGTCAGTTACATGTTTCTACAGCCACTCTTTGAGATTTTGAAAGCATTAGTGCCAGCCATAACTCATTTTTTGCCTTTCTCCTTCTGAATCCTGCCTCTAATGTATAAGAAACTACATGAGGATCATCACAAGAAGACAGCGTGGAGGGGCAGCTGGAACGCTTATTTGATCTTTGCCATGGAGCAGAGCCTTAATGCATTTTTTTTTTTACTCAGTTTCATTGGGTTTTGTTCCTTATCATGTGACTTTCATAAATGGCAATTTTCAAACATCTGCTTGTCCAAACATCTGGAAATCTTTGATCTGTTCATCTTTTACTGGTTTATCTCTTTCCAATAAAATCTTATTAACGGCAGAATGTAAAGGTTCTTGATAATCTTTTTCCAATCATTGTTGGGAAAACTAGAAATCCAGTGAACATTTCATTCTTGATGTTGTTTATTCGTCTTTCACCTTCTGTTGACATTTCACAGGCGTGTAAACCTGTCACCGCACTCTATTACTCTCTTTCATCAAACACCGAGTGCTTTCTCCAAAATCATCCTGTTCTCTCCTCAGTTTCCTCTAATCAAATTATTTGTTATGACTATCTGGACTTTAAACGTTACACTCCCTAAAGTATTATTGTTAGATTTTTCTTAAGACATTTTAAGAGCGTGCATCAATTTTTATAGTTTTAAATATTATTTGTGTAATGATATATATCAAATAATAATACTAAATCCCAGATTTTCCATCAGAATTATCTTATTTTAAAGTGTGACTATGAGTTTTCTATATCATGTATAAATATATATATATACATATATATATTAATAAATATATATATGCGTGTGTGTGTAAATATATATATATATGTGTATATATATTATGTAGATTCACATATACATTTATACTTACAAATGTGAATACTAAGTAAAAACATGTACCATCAAAAGCTTGTATATGTATATTTAATTCATGCCATATTTTCTTAAAATGTGTACTCAAAAGTAAAAATTATTAACATGTTCAATCCTATATCTCCAAGTGTTTTGTGTACTGTAGCCACACAACCAATATTTGCTGAATAAATGATTGGCATAATATGTATCAAGTTAATTTTAACAGAAACATGCTGTTTTAAAATGACTCATCTGGTTCCAGATATGTACTTCAGAAGAAAGTGACAGACTAACTAAAACACTTTTCTTCATCCTCTTGCAGATCCCAATTCTCTGGCTGGCCAGAATGGCCCTGATCATGCTCTCATAGGAGGGATAGTGGCTGTTGTTGTATTTGTTACACTATGCTCCATATTCCTGCTTGGCCGATATCTGGCAAGACATAAAGGTAAGCAATATTTAGAGAAATCTCTTTTAGTCTTGATAAAAATCTTACAAACACTAATTAATTCTGACATCTTATAGGGGATATGTTTCTTGACTGAGTCAAGGCAGGGATGCAGATAGAAAGAGGGATTTGGAGATATAAATTGTAAATTAATTCAGGGAAGTGATGATAAGTGTTATTTCAAATGGATTAAAAGTAATTTTATTAACTCTAATTTAAAAACAGTGGAAAAACAATGTACATACTTCTATAAATAAAAACTTGCAGCATCAACCAGACATTAATAGTTGGAGTGTAGTGTTAGAGAAAAGCATGTACTTGATATTCTTCCTACTAAAAACTGGCTCACTTTGGAAACTTTGACCATTATCTAAAGAAATATTGTTTTACTACACCAATCTAATTCTGACTAAAGAAGCAAAACAAAACAAAAAAGGCTGAATGAGAACACAAGAAGAACAGTAATATATTTGTAGTAATAAAATTCAACTCGAGTATTTGGTTAAAAGTTTTATTCATAAATAGAGATTTATGAGTCAAGAAATTTTGATCTTTAACAAAATAAAGATTCTATTAATTTTTTTAGAAATTTTATTTTTATAATAGACCAATCTAAACATTATTGACACAGATTAGCTCAGTGAGATTTTTCATGCCCAGGAGTGTTTGGCCAATACAAAGCAGATTCTATTATTTTTCCAAGCTGTTTTGTTTTGTTTTGATGCTTTTTGTCTTATTGGTTTTTATGTTAAGTTTCAGTTTTCTAATTTTTAGGCTTTTGGAAGTTCAGATGTGAGTAAACAGGGAAAAACATGGTAAAAACTTAAGACTATTGTCAACTGCATGCATTTTAATAAAGAACTAAATTTCTTTTATGGTCTCATTAAATCAATCCAGCATTAAAGAAGTAAAAGTGACATAGTAGTCATTTCAGCCTCGCTCTTGCCTTTAAATAATTACACCTCAGTCTCACATGAAACACTTCTCTTAAAGTAAAAAGAAAGATAGAATTGTGAATGTTTGAATTGTGTGGTGTATCACTTCTGAGAATATTGTCTAATATACGAAGATTCAGTCAAATTTTTCTCTTAATGTAGTTATTTTGTTAGATGCTCAGAACTAACATTCTTCTTCCCACATCCACAGGAACATATTTAACAAATGAAGCTAAAGGAGCTGAAGATGCACCAGATGCTGACACAGCCATTATCAATGCTGAAGGCAGCCAAGTCAATGCCGAAGAGAAAAAAGAGTATTTCATTTAAAATTCAGGCACCAAGTTCTGAGTTTTACCTACCAGGCTGACTGCTGGAGAAAACTGGCAATCATCTTTCAGAAATCATTCCAACCATCTTCTTCTACTACTTTTATTAACACCCATACTGTACTGCTCTCAGTAGCCAGTGTATACCAACAATCAGCAGTTGAAAGCATCATTCTTTAATTACTGTACCATCCATAATGCAGGACATTTCTTATTGCCTAAATTTTACACCATTGCTCTTTTAACATACAGTGCTTGAATATACAGCCTTAACAATGTTAATCATCTCACTGGATCATGATATTGAGTTGTTTTTATACATTTGAAGAAATGTATGCAGAACCCCGCCCCTACATTTGTTTTCCTTGAGGTCATAGACTTTATTGGTTTGTCACTGGACAGTTATCACAAGTCACAGGATTAGGTGATGACCTAATGTGTTTAAGCTTAATCGAAGATTAGAGGTTTACAAACAATGTTTTCTACCTGTCTATCTTCAAAGATAACATGTTGTGGAAACATACGCCCTAGAAAACACAAACTGAAAAACACTGTAGTGTAGTTTCTGGAATGTTTGAGATTATACTGGTAATACAGTATCAAGTTGCTATTTTAAAATTTAGTGTTTGATACAGGCGCCATGTGTATGGATTATACTCATGACATGACACCTTATATTATTATATAGAGCCTACCATTAGGTTATTGTAGCTTCATTTACCAATAAATTATTACAAACATTTAACTGCTTTGGGAATCATAAAGATTTCATTCATTTCTCTATTTGATTCTATAATTTATTTGTTCCATAAGGATTCACCTGCCTAAACAAAACTGAAGTAGGGCACAATTTTGAGACATTTTAGTATCTGTATATAGTGCATATAATAAATCCAATTAAACATTATTTGATACATATTTAACTTTTTTGGCTGTAGGTTATTCAGTCATAAGTACGCATTTTCTAACGTCCATTATATCCCTTTAGATATTACATAAACTGATATTATAAGTAGATAACATGTATTAGTATTTTTGTCTGTATGTCCCAGCACTGTCAACAACAAAATTTTTCTAGTTCTTGTTAATTTTTATTTGTTATACAATGGAAGCACAATGTTACAAGGAAAGGTAATTTTAAGCTAACAACCAGTGCACAGCCTCAGGTTTTAAATCACAACCACAGTTGAATAATAACCTAAAAACAAACTCTTAGTTTGATTTAATTTACAAAAAAAAAAAACTTTACACATTTTAATTTGGCAGTTTCAGGGCTGCTTAACTATGTTGATTTGCCAAAAAGGAAGTGTTTATGATATTTTTCTGCATAAATGAGCTAATTCTTTATATTAAATTCCTGTCTATGCATTCTGTAAGGTACAAACTTATGAAACAGAGAGTGATAGAGAACCTGTGCCATGCTTTTGACTCCAAGGTGAAAATCTCTTTCTCTGAATTATTTTAAATTTTGGTATATTGAACTATTGTAAAATTAAGTAATCTTAAATATATCACAAAGCCAATACAAAGTCTTCTTTCTTTGGATGAAATATGATACTGGTAGAATAGTTTTCATTTCATTTACTGAAAGCTAAAGAATAAAGATCCAGTTAGATTTGAAAAATACTTTCCCATTTGCAAGCATTGCACCTTTAAGAAGAAAACAAAAAGTACAATATGCTAGGTGTGCTTGTGATGTCTAACAGCGTGGTGGAGTTTTAAAAATACCTTGGAACTTATTTGTGGGGAACAAGAATGATTGAATACAACATCATGTGTTAATAACAAGTGAAAGACAAGGGTGCTGTATATTAGATTATTTATCAGAAAAGTATCGAACATTTAAGGACAATGTTAGAATTTTTAAGTTTTTTTTAATTGTGTAGCATTTATCTTGTTGATTTCTTACAAAAGAAAAAGGACGATGTCAGTCAAGCAGCACTTTTTTTCAAAATATACAGAACATAAATAATATGATGTGGTTGAGTGTTAACATAATAAATCATATACAGTATGACATTTTAAGGAAATAAGTCTGCATTGATGTGATTGCATGCTTGTTTTTACAGTTCACTCCATACCATCTGTGGAAAAAAATGCAATAATATGTTAATATAGTATGGTAGTTCGAGAGAATCAGGTAGGTGCCTCTAGACACATTGAAACTAGAATAGATCTATAAACTGCTCATATCTTTCAATGCATAATCTTTAGAAAGACTCCACACAGCAAAAATTCATCCTGTTAGTACAAAATGGAAAGGTTCTTCTTGCTAAGTATGTTGTATAACTGCATCATCAATTACTATTTAAAGCCTAATTTCAGGATACATTTACAAAATTGCTACTCTTCATCGATGCTGTATTTATATCCTTCTTCATCTATATTCTACTTGGCTCCAACTGCTAAAATTGCTGCCCAAATAACACAAACATTATTTATAACACTGTAAAATTAGAAAACCCAAATTGTTTGCATTTCAAGACTTGTGACCCCTTTAACCCTTCTGAGAAATACACAAAACCATTAGAATTTGTAAAATGAAAGTCACTGGCAGATAAAGATTAGTGGGCTTGAATCAAATGGTTTTCAGTTAAACATAGCTAATTTTGATTGAATGACATTTCCTGTCGCAGAACAAAAGTGATGGCGCTATGCTTTCGTGTATTGAAAGGTCATTTGGCTTACACTGAAGGAAACAAGTTACAAGAGTTGTGGGCATTCCCCATTCAAACAAATAAATGAATAAATGAAACAAGATTTTTAAATTGGACTCATGTCAACTGAGAAGCCTGAAATATGCCCAGTTGTATGCACTCGGAGCCACTCTCTGTCTCTGCTAAGGGAGTTCAGTAGGTAGGAAACACAGTGAAAGGAAATGTGTGCACACACTCCTCAAAGACTAAGAGCATCATTTGTTACAAAAGGAAGTTCCTCTCTGCCAGAAATGTTTACAGTGTACATTGATTGTCCTCCATCAGTAAGATCTAACCAATATTCTTCTTGTCGTCTTTTCCTTTTTGAATGTCCTGAGAAGAATTGTGACCAAAACTATAAGAAAAAAAGGAAAAGTACATCAATAAAATAGTAAAGACACAATACTCCACTGGAATATTGGTGTGTGTGTGTGTGTGTGTGTGTGTGTGTGTTTGCATGTGCATGTCTGTGTGTGTGTACTTGTGTGTGTGTTGGTACTCCACTGGAATATTGGTATTTGTGTGTGTATATGTGTCTGTGTGTATGTGTGTATGTATGTGTGTGTGTGTATGTGTATTGAAGAGAAGAGAGATTAAAACAAACACAGAGAAAGAGATTCCAACATGTTTCCTTTTACCAGAAATTGCAAGAAGCAATTTAAGGAACCTGATATTGGGATTTAATCTAGAAACTGGATGATCTCATTAAAAATGTCTAGTCTTTCATAGAAACTTTACAATTACAATAACAAATAGAGAAAGAAAAAAACTTTCCTGATTATGGCAAAGAAGCTAACACCTCATTTGTTTTATGTTTTATTTTTGGTTTTTGTTTGGGTTTTGTAAAAATATAAATATTCAATTAAAAAGACAGGCTCACTTGTAATTATGTACTCATGACTGTAACAGCATTGAGATACCATATAGGCACATGTACAGCAGCTGTTTGACAGTAATGGCTCTTCCATGTAACATAGCAGTTAATGTGTGATTTAGTGCCACTTATTGCAAAGTGTTACCAATGGGCACATTGAAAATGCTTTTCCTTCCTCATCCTTTTGACATATGTATAATTTAAAAAATAAAAATATCTTTCACACATTTTCCAATTTGTGAAAAAAAAAAAACTCTTCATATCCGACTGTAACCTCTCCATAACATTTTGGTCCCAGAAAACTTTCAAAAAATGCCCAATTTTATTTCCTTTAATAAATGGTAATCTGTAATGGGTACAGACAATGAAATAATAACTCAGTGGTCACAACTGAAATAACTGAAAAATCTAAAGGAAATTACTAATGAGTAATGCTTTTTGTTAAGTGGCACCAAGTACACACTAAAAACTATGCAAAATATAGGTAACTACACTGTATGTACATGTAAGTATCTTGTACTAGCTGTGTATGGATGTTGGAAACCCATGTAATTATAATATGCATTTTGAATTCTGGGAAAGAGGAAATCTTAGTGTAGATAATATAATTTGTTTTGAAATATACATTGGCAATATTGAAATATACTCAGTGCAATATCTCTAATTCTATTGCTGGATACTTAATGCAAAGGGTTTAAAAATATTCTTAAGATCCAAGAGTTTGCTTATTCATCTCTCATGTTTTAAAATACTAACTACAGCAAGTTATTCTTTTTTTCTTGCTTAATTATTGAGGTAACTTAGGACATTTATTTGGTTTAGTGTTTAACATTGCAGCATAGAATGAAAAGACATGGATTTTAATCTTTGACTCATATTTAATCAAATTTGATATTCTTAAACTTTCTTTGAAATGTATGTGCTCTAATAGATTGATATACTTTGATTATGAGTAAAAATTTATTCAAAGAACATAAAGTATATTTAGTACTTAAAGACACTTATATTTTAATGAGGAAATTTTCCTTTCTATATTTTCCTTTGTCTCCCTATCACAACCCAAACACGCCCTTTGCACTTCTATATACCCTTCCAAAGGCAGTGGATTGAGCGTAGCAAGATAATCATGAGGCTTGAAGGGGATGGTCTATGTGAATGGGTTCTAAAATCATCAGCATTTTTATGTATTGAGATTACTATTGAATGCAATAGTTATTGGATATAGCTGGTAATTTCTCTGCCATGCATACTTACAATAATTCTTCTACCTCTCTCACTTTTAACATGGGCTATGATACTTCAGTATAAATAGCAGAAGTAAATATTTACAAGATATCCCAGGAAGCATCATTTTGGGACCTTCATAACAATGCACTCCCCACTCCCTGGGAAATCTCAAAAGCCAACTTCTTGTAGTGTATTCTATGATGTACGGATATGCATTTGTTTAGCTTCTCTATCGTTAGGTGCACATAGATAACATATGAAACTTTGATGAGGACAGTTCTTTCCATGCCTAGTTTATGTTTTGCTGTTATGTAATTGTAACTTTTTGAAAGTAATTTGATGGCAGCAGTTTGCAATCCAATCTGATATTTCATTTTATTTTTAAAGTGTAAGAATTTCTTCAAATTCAATGCTGTATTTTAAGTACAAATCATGTATATGATTTAATTTCCAGAGAAGTATTATCTATATAGACAAAAATCAAGTATTTTAAAAATTCCTCCATATGAACAGATAATCCCAATAATTGAAAATATTGCCTCAAAAGCCCACCATTTCTGCCTAGGCATGATAGGAACTTTTCAATGATGTAATTTAAATATGTTAAAATAAAATACCATTTTATGAGCATATTTTCCTTCAGGAAAAATAAAAGATTAGATAAATCTATTAAATACTGATGGTGAATCTATAAAATACACTTAAAATTAAAGTAATATTATTGTGTAATGTGGTTATGTTATAAATATCATTTGTTTTACATTTTAACATTGTTTCCATATATGTATACGTGATATATATGATCATATATATTACATATATATATATGTATATGAAATGTGTGATTATTTTTGAGAAAATGGGCCCAAATGTGAAAAAGATGTAAAGAAAACACTATACTCCCTTGGAAATATGATGTATATTTCAAAGATGTTAAGTTAAAAGAGAAGTGACAACTGCAGAGGCACAAGAAAAATCTACCAGGGCTCAGCACTTAAGCACTTTGCCTACATCCAGGGTCAAAGCAGTAGCGATTCCTACACGGACTTTTAAGCGCAGCATGAAATGCAGCATTACACGAACACACAGTACTGTCAAACCTCAAATGCTTTCTTTCTTTAGATGTTTTCCCTTGTACATGATCCTCGTAGACACGTTTTTTATATTTGCTGATAGTGAAAGTCACGTGCAATAAAATGTAACAGTTGGAAGCAGTAGTCACTAATCGGTTAAAGACAAGTACAAAATGTAAAAACAGTTGTTATCTTTCTCCTCTTTGCTTTTCTCTGTGGTTCCGATGTGTTGACTGAGTGTCATAAATAGAACAAAAAAAAGAAAGCAATCTAGAAGCTTTTCAAAGCTAGTAATATTGCTCCTTATAAATATGTAACATTTTAATCTTTTTTACAAACTTACTTCGCTATACTCACTGTACCTGTTGTCGATTGATTCAATGATGCAACTGAGATGTGAACTAAGGACTTCTGAGTTTGGAATGGCTAATCTCTTCTTCATATTCAGTTCACATCAATATTTGTGAATCCCTTGTTTAGCTTTTTATTCAACAGTAAATATTCCTTAAAGACAGCTCCTTTCTTATCATAAATATTTCAGTGTAAACAACTTTGCAACAAGTTTGCCATGTTAAAAAAAATTTAAAGACTTATCTCTGAAAACAGTGTCCAGAAATGCAGGTGTTCCCAGCAATGAAGCTTCCAAAATAAAGTGTTCTATTTATATGACATGAAATCCATATCTTTTGGAAGGGTATACTTATGACAGCATTCAAATATAGTCTGTGCTGTAAGGAAAATCCACCAAAATGAAGCATATCACACAGAAAACAAACCCAATTATTTATTCTACTCTTATCATGAACATTTTCACAAAACAAAATGCATATTGTAATATTAAGTACATGACACTTGCATGTTGATATGCCTATATACTTACAAAGTATTCAATGTGTACTGAGTGGCGCTTCAAATATGTCATGTACAACACTTATAAACATGCCTACAGGGTTCCCATTTGCACTCCATCCTTTCAGTAAAGTCTCCTCAGAAAAAAAATGCCTGATAAATATGAAAAAAAATAAAATTTGAATTTTAGTTATCTGCTGGACATTCCGGAACTTTTTCTTCCTTTAGTATATTTTAGGGTTGAACACAGACATTGGAAATAAACTTTCTTTTCTCCCGTGAAAGATTACAGAAAGTGTTGTGGAGCACATTCTGTTATGCCAAACGCATTATTCTCAATACCTTTTTTCAATTGCATTTTATGCTCATCTACTTTAGGTTTCCTCAATGACATACAGTTTTCTTGTAAATTTCTAAAGGGAACTTTCTGTTTTTTAAAAAGAGAGCTACTAAAAGCATAAATGTTTTCTTTCTGATACAACATTTAATCATTACTCCTTGAAATGTATGAACCTTGTAATATGCTGACTAAGGGTTAAAAAAAAAAGTGTCGCTGACGTAAAGAATTTTGCTTGAGATTCCCAACATTCAAAATTTTGTAAAAGTAACTTTACATCCACTTATTTGTGTTTACTAATGTTGACTAGGAACAGAAGCAAAAATATCTAAAACAACTTTTTTTATTTCTACACTGATATATTTCAACTACCTAAGATAATGCAATTAACCATATATACATCCCGAGCTTATAACAATAAGAATTTGAGATAAGCTTTTAAATTTATGGAAGATTTTCTTTGTGTCTTTGGAAGTTCACTTACCATGAGGTATTTTGTAGTCTACTTTAAATAACAGATTTTGTTATACAGGGTAAGCCAAAGGCTGTACAAGAATTAGTGCCATTGGGTCTGATATTTGTGTTGGACCATGAAATATTCCATTAAAATTTGTCTGTAAATACAAGGCAAGATTTTGTATCTGGTTTATTTTTATTAAATAACATGTTATATTATTTTCCATTTTTTTTCCAGCAAAAGAAGGCATGTGATCTTTGGTAATTTGAAACTTTCTTAAAGATCAGATTCCACATCAAAATGAAACGAGAAGATTTTCAGGGAAATATTCATAAAAGGGCTATTTTGTTGTTCCTGGTTTTTTTTTTTTTGTGTGTGTGTGTTATTCAGCATGCCTATCCATGTAATCTCCAAACCAAGAAGACACATAACAATCATGTTTTTTAAGACGATAAACTTGAGATAATGCCAAACTACTTCTGATAATTTTATGACATTATGAATTCAACGTTTCAAACAAATAATTCATAATACAATTCACAAAAAATATTTGTCAACTCATATGTTTTTAATTTATAATGGTTTAGTATATGAAAGCAGCCCTTTCTGTATAAAAATTCAAATATAATTTATATATATATACATATATATATATATATATACATATATATATATATATATATATATATGGTGTATGTATATATAACAAGATGTGCTTTGAAGTTAAAAGAATCTAGGAAATGTTTAGCTTCTGGAAAAAATTCAACCATAATGCTTTGTAAAAGTTTAGATATTTAAATATCCCTAGATTTTTGAAAATTTGAAGAAGGAAAAGCAGGAAAACATGTTTCCACTTGTATTTAAATTCCATCCAGTACTAATTCAGGCTGCATGTTATTTAACCAAAACCTTACCTAAGTACACTTCTATAGTCCAAATTAGTCTACATGATTACATGATGAATTACACTCAGAAGCTGAACATAACATTTTAAGCCTTGATCTACAAAGCTGATCCTTATAAACAACAGTTATTTTACACACTTTTCACATTAATGTGTTTGGTGGAAAAGGAGATAAATTCAGTAATTAAAAAAATGTATATATTATGAAACAATTCCCATAATTTAGGAAAAGAAAATCTAAAACCACATTTAGCTTTCAAACATAGTGTATAATTTTAAAATATGCATAGCATTTCTCTGTTTGTATCTTATTCTAACTTTTTAAATATATCATATTAATAAAGGCTTTATTATAATAGTAAATTATGAACTTTAGTCATCTTCTAAAGAGTAGCTGTTACCATAATCAGATTCAAGATATTATTGAAAGCCTGAAAACACACATCGTGATCATAACTGCAAAAAAGTCTAATTTTTTATTTGTATTTATATAAATATTTATACATGATTCATATGCATATGTATATGACATATACATGTCTGCGTATATACACACACTTGCACACACACAGACACCACACACATATATGTATGAATATATATATATATATATATATATATATACATATATATATATGTATATATATATTCAACTGATAAAAGATTATAGAAATACAATGCAGTTTTGTAGATTGGTGCATACCTACTTTAAAGACTGAGGATTAGACATATAGTCTTTACCTATAGCCTAGTCACCACACTGAGCCTCGGGGTCAAATAAGAGAGAAAAGGAAAAGAAAAATATGAAAAAAAGAAAGAAAGAAAGACAAGGCATTGCCATGTAATTTGGAGTTGGCATACAATAGTAAATACTCCAGGCACTGTTAACTCTTGGAAACATTGCTGATAGCCATAGGATGTCCTTGAAGTACAAGATCATTCTAAGACCTGTAAACATAATAGATGAACCTGATAAGTGAAGAATTTATACCTTTTTAACCTCAAATTAAGGGCATCAAGAAATGAACGTTTTTCAGAAAACTCTAAAGCTCTGTTGTACCTATTTGGTAATTTTACCAAAAATCAGGAGCACACTTAACATGTTTCTAATAAGATCAGTGGATTTTGTGAAATTCAGCCTTTCAGTCTTTAAGATCCCATAGACCTGTTCCCTTAAGATTAGGATGTAATCATCTAAATACTTCAACTTGTACTAAACAACCAAACACTGAGTATTTATTTGCTTCAAAATGTATCCTTTGATCTTAGGTTTTCCACTAAAACATAAAATTTTCAATTATGCAGTTTGTATTATTAAACATCTCCAATTTCCCTTCTCAAAGTATATCTTGTTCCTAAGCACTAAATGACACAAAAACTCCCTCAGGGATTATGGACACCCTCAAGAATAAGAGAAAGTGGGTATATTTCAAACCCTATCTTGTTTGTAGAATTCCATGCTAAACTGATGTAATAAAAATATTAGGTAGTATTTTACATGAAATTGAAACAAATCCATAACTCTTACTAGGAAATCTAGGCTGAGACTTTCCTTAGTCTTGTACTAAACATCAAGTCCCCTGGAAACAATTTTTTTTCTCTCTCTGTACCTAGCAGTCATCTTTATCTTCATGCTGGGTACTGACTTCTGTCTCTCTCAGTTATCTACTACTTTCCCAGAGACACTTTGGGAATATAATTTTTCCATGAGAAGACAACTTTGAAAAGATCCTTGAAGCCAATGTCACTTTTATAAAAGACCAAACTTAAGTTGATGGTCAGAAGGATATTTGTGGGAAATCAGAGGGTTAAAATACAAATCCATCTGATCAAGTACATCTCCTCTGTGGTGTGCAATTTTACCACTGGAAGTACATATGATCTGATTCTTCTTCACTCACTGTTGTTTATAGAATAATTTTTGTAGAATTCATCAGAAGCAGAATTAATCTGTTTTCCTGGAATTTGAGAGTGACAATTTCTAAAATTTTTATGCCTCTGTTCTAAACTGTCATCAGTAATAATTGACTAAAACACCACTGTGACACACTTGGCAGGAGTCTCTGAGAAGGATAAAGGGGCATCTTGAGGTAGGATAATTTGTTAACATGATAACTGAAATGACTGAGCAGAAGAAGTTTTAGAAAATGCTAAGGTATAAAACCTCAGAAAGTTACTTTCTATTCATAGCCTTGAGATAGGGTATTACTAAGAAGACCAGGATGCTCTAATGTTATCTAATGCCTCAGCTTCAAATACCTGTCATTATAAATTGGCCCTACTAGGCCCTTCTGAAGCTTTAGTTCTAAATGTAGAAGTTCATTAGTTGAGTCCAGGACTGACAATCTGAGTTTGTCTCATAGTCAGTAATCAGGAATATTCACAGGATCCCATGCTCTGAGTGATACTCCATCCCTGAGCTTAATGGCAGTCAGTGGTCATCTTGAACATCATAATTTCAACTTTGAGTGTGTATTTTGTTTTTTCCTTTTTTGTTGTTTTTTGCTTTTTGTTTTTTTGTTTTTTTTCTCCTTTTTTCTCTTTTTTTTTTTAAATCAAATCGTAA